CCAGTTCAGCCTGTTTGTTCTCCAGCTGTGATTGCAGTTCCGTCTGCCTTTCCTCAGCAGCTTTCGTCTCATTGGCATGGCGCTGTTGAAGTTCGTTCAGAGCGTCGTGTGTCACCACAAGTTTTTCTTCTGTTGTTGTCAACTCGGATTCCATGTCTTCCAATTGAGATTGGAGGTTGGCTTGTTTCTCTTCAGCAATCTGTGTCTCATTGGCATAACGCTCCTCTAGAGCATTGAGCGCGGCTGCTGTTTCCTCAAATTGTTTTCCACGTGCTTCTAGATCAGCCTCAAGAACACGGATGACTTCTTCACGGTTAGCCATAGCAGCATCAAACGCATTTTGTTTTTCTTTAAGTTCAGCATTTACCCGGTTCAATTCACCTTGCAGGTTCTGGACTTGTTTCTGGAGTTCAGCCTCCATATCAGCAGATGCATCTTCCAATTCTTTTAACGCAGCTTGCAATTCTTCAATATGATTATCACTCTTACGTAACTCTTCCTTCTTGTGGGAAAGTTTTGCAGTGAGTTGTTCAATTTTAGCGTTGGCCTCATCCAACAATTGCCTGAGTCTGGCCAGCTCAGATTCATACTCACCGACTTTCTGGGACATCGCCTGATCATGCTGAGACTGCTTTTCCTTCATCATTTCAGTATATTTATGAAGATCCTCAGCCATAAGCATTTCCATAGCATCCTCATGTTCCTCCTTCATCTCTTGCATCTTTGTATTGAGCTCCTTCATCTCCTCTTCCAGTAACACTTCATTAGGATAGAGGATACGACGCTGCTCCTGCAATTGTGCGTCAGCATCAGCGAGAGCCTTCTGGTAGCCTTCAAGTTCCTCTTGCAGTCGAGCGATGATTTCATCATCCGTAGCTTCCATGAGTTGTGCTTCCAAAATGGCAATCTTCTTTAGCAACTGCTCAATAGTATTCTGTAATTGGAATTCCGCAAAGAGTGCCTCCTTCTTTTTGAGGTAGGCATCTCGTAACTCTTCACTGAGCTTATCTGCATCATCTTCCCTGGCATCAACAGGCTTTACGGTGTTAATCTTTGCGTGTGTTGTCATTTGTTTAGCGCGATCTGCAAAACGTAGTGTTTGTACACTAAGATGGGCATCACGAACACTTGGTGCGATGGTAACCACCATTGCTGACACACTGTTTCCTCCAAGGTATTCCTTTAGAAGTTTAGTTAACGTACTGTTACGAAATTCTGGAATATTTTGATTGTACCCCTTACGAGTGGCGACAGCCTCAATACAGGAGCCAAGTGCGAGCAAGGACAAGTTAATGTTACGTGCTTGTTCAAAAGGGAGACCCGTTTCTGTATGAGCCAATTTAATTCGTTCACTTCCGGCAAGATCAGCGAGAAGAATCTTGGAAGCACGTGGTGCGATATCTGCGGATTCAAAATTGGTCTGAACCTCAAGCTGAAACAAGGTATGAGCACGAGAGGAACGATCATGAATAGCAGTGGCAGCAAAAGTACGTAATGGCTCTGCTTTCTTTAACAAGGCAGACACATCCTCATAACGACGTACAGGAACAGCCTTTGCTCCAACCACATGGAAAGAGTTGTCACCGTAGTTATTTCGAATTGTTACCATTTTACGGTGATTAAGTAAATCAAAGACATCTTCCAGGTATACCTCTAACATAGATACAGATACACGGTACGTAATACCTTTCTGTGAACTGGCGGCTGCACGTTCAAATATCATTTCACATACACGTGGAATAAGACCTTGATCTGATGAACCAAGCGAATTTGCAGGTCCGAATGCTGTATATGTTTTACCACTGCCAGTCTGTCCGTATGCCATGATGGCAGCATTATATCCTGCCAGTGCATTTTCAACCAATGGTCTTCCAATAACCTCAAAAACGTCTTCCTGGGAAGAAAAGGATTTTTCACTGGCCATATCATTACTCCAAAACGTTCCATCAAAGGTAAAAGTAAATCTTCCCTTTTTAGGTACCTGAATATCAACAGTATCATCCTTCATGCGTACTGCCAACTGTCGTTGATCCTCTGCAGTTTCATTCGCTGCAAAAGCACGTACACGTGCATAAACATTAACACGTCCGTTTCCACCAGTCTTGCCTGAGAGTTGTTTCATGGGCGTAGCATTATTATTATTATTGTAGAGACTGGTATTCACAGAAGAGATACTGGCATTTGTTCCTGTACGCCTGAAGCTATCTGGGCGAGGGAGTCCTGGTCCTGTTTGACGTGCTGACGATGGTGCCCCGCTTGTTGGTCGTGGGGGCCGCTGCGACATTGGGGTCGCCGAGCCGGTGGCTTGTCGCCCGCTGGCGCTTCCCGCTGGGCCGGGCGTCGCTGTTCGCATGGGCGTCGTGGTCCGCAGCGGAGTGCCGGCGGTGGGTGGGCGGGGCGGCACGGAGCGGCCGGAGCTCGGCGCCATTCGGCTGGAGTTGGTTCGCTTGAAGTCCATATCTCTCTCTCTCTCACTGTCGGGGGAAGAAGTGTAAACGTACAGGTATTTTTTTTTTTTTTTGTTGTTGTCTAGGGTACAATTATCACGGAAAGAAACGTAATACAGAAGAAAAAAAAATAGGCCAAAAAAAAAAATTTTTTTTTTTATATATAATATAGATCTACTTGAGTTAAGAATGTGGGGGGTCTACGGTGAAAGATTGGGTTGTAGGTTGTATGCTTGGCTTTTATTTAAATTTGTGAGGTAGATATATATATTGATATTATAGAAAAGAGAAGAAAAAAGAAGAAAGAAAAAAGAAGAAAGAACAATGGTTTAATCATGCATAACTCAACATATGTGTACTGTACTAATGTAAATGAATACAGATACCTTCGCCTTTATCTATCTAATCTCAGTGTGATTTGTCATGTACACACACATAGATAGATAGACAGATGGATAGATAAAGAGAGAAAGAGAATTCTCTTTTCCCTCTGGCATAAAAAGAAAAAAAAAAATTTCGTATGGTTTAGTAGCGCATCTACAGAGCAAGTACAAAGAATCAAATTTTGACAGTCCACACACACACAGACAGAGACACAGACATATGCACACACCGAAGTAAACACATATTCACTAACTCACTCACTCACTCATAGACAGAGAATACATACATGCATAACCATATATATATATCTACACGTTCATATATACAAGAATGCATAACTTACAAATACGTTGGCAACAATACCAATCACTATACTTTTTTTTTTGCTTATGTGTTGTTGTTCAACGATGAAACAATTGAAAAAGAATGAAAAACAATAGTATACCTCCTCCATGGAAAAAAAGGGAAAAAACGCCAACGAACGAAACAATGCTACTTACCCCAGATATATATATATATATATATATATTCTCATTTCCTTTTCAACTTGACTCCGTTAAAAGGTGCAAAAGGTGAGAAGGTGATTTTCACCTTGCTTTATTTTTTGAATTTTTTTTTAAAATATAATCTTCCAAAATTTTCCTTCTGTGTATATATATGTGTGTGTGTGTGTGTAAGTGTGATTTTCTTTGTGTGTTTTGTGGATGTACCTAGTTTTTTTTTTTTCTTCTTCTTCTTCTTCTCATATTTCTTCCGCTTATGAACGGGAATCTCCAAAACGGTGAATTAAGTACTGTCTTGTCAATTTTGCCGTTTGTGCTGCTTCTGTGGCGCCTTGAGAACCAAACGTCTGCATTAATGCAGAAACAACGCGGGGGATGGACGTGTTCAGTACAATGGTTTGATTATTCACGAGAACCCCGTCATTCACTGGGTAATACAGCAACACAGATCGTACTTTTATAGTAGAGTCAATCTTTTGTATATTTCTCTTAGTACGTTCAAGAAGAATTGCTTTAGCGGGTACCAAACCGTCTATATCCTTAAACTTAGCTAATACTTCTGGATCATTGATTTCACTTACTTTCATTTGAATTGTAACACTGAAGACAAATTTAATAACTGTCTTTACTAGTCGAAACGTATAAGGTGTGTCAGGTTCTTCAAATTTGTTGTTACCAGGCTGACAATTACGCTGATAGTCAAGAGAGGATAAAACTTCTGCCGTAAGATTTGAAAGTCGCACACCTGGAAGAATATACATAGCCTTTACAAGAATACCAACATACTTTGATCGTTCCTCAGGTGAGTATATATCGATTTTAGGAACATTATTTTCTTGTACCTCATCAGCGAAACTAGTGATATTGATAAAGGTATCAATAATCTCTAGTGTATCCTGGCTTACCTCTGCAATAGCAGAACATACAAACCTGAAGAAGGCATTTCCTGCATTAAGATGATTTGCTGCACCTGGTAGTGAAAGAAAATCCCATGTGTTAGTTACAACTTGCGCCTGAACACCACCTGTAATGCTAATCTCTCGGGCTGTTAATGCCATCATTTGATAATGTTCAGCTACCACTGTATTCTTTGGTTTTTCCTCTACATGTTCTCGTGGGGAAAATCCTTTTTCTCCAACGTTATCATCTGGAGTAACTGCAAAAGGTTCACCGTTTATCTTATCCCCATTATTTCCATCTACCTCCACATCAATATCCTTGGCATGAATGACAAGTACTTCTCTTCCATTTCGTTGTTTACTCTTCACTGGTGCGGTACGGAATTGACGAATTGTCGGTACCACACGTTTTAATGCCATGTGAATAAGTGTCATGTTCATTTTCCAGGCACCAAATATTTCTTGACGTGACATTTGTTCAAGTTCTGCCAATCGTGCGAGACGTTCTGACCATGTGGAGGCCTCTGCAAGATATCGATTTTGTTCCTTTGTAAATGTGTCTGCGTTTACAGATCCTGCACGTAATCGAGATCGGCTGGCGGGGTTGTGAGCCACAAAACTCTCCTCTAATATATTACAGGGTTCACATATACTTAAATGCAAAATATCACTCACAAATCGATCCACGTCTTCTGTTAATACTTCATTTCGTCCATTCGTCATAAGACTTCTTCCAGATTCATCTCGAAGTGTACTGGAAAGTTCTTGGTTTAGGCCATCTGCCAGAGTAGCGCTGCACTCACTTACGGTGTGAATACTTTGGTCTAGTGTGTTACCGTGACTTCCTTTTGTACGATTCATTGTGAGGTTGAGTGCACCTGAGGGCACTACGTAGTCAAACTCGACGGTGGGCACTGCTGGAACTGCCACTGTCGGCTCTACTTGACTATGCTGCCGCCCAGCGTCGTCCACAACGGGCATAGCATTCTTGTCACAACAGATGCCCATTGCGTCGTATGAGGGGACGTTAGTTAAGGCAAATGAGGTTTCAAGAAGTAGAAATAATATTATTAGTAATAGTAGAGTAATAGGAATAGTAAATAACAATGGCAATTACAATAACAATAACAATATTATTATTATTATTATTATTATTATT